TGCGGCCCAGGGGCTACAAACCGAATAGGGCGCAAAGTAAAAGGGTAGTTTTATGGGGGAGGGCAAAAAGGGGGTCATCGCGCATGAAATTATATGCCTTAGATGACATATAATTAAGGTTTTGGGCCAAAATCTTTTCCTCCTCTGCATATGAATGCCGCGTATTCGTTATCATTTTCGCAAATTGTACGGCGTGTTCGCTGGCATCCACTGCGGGAAAGATGGCGTCCTTTTCAACGTCAGAATATTTTTTTTTAAGACTCTGAGTTGGGATTCTAGGTCTTGAATTTTTTTAAGGAGTTTGGTTTCATTCTGCTGATAGCCACGGCAAATCTTAGCGAAATGCTCATCGCTAACAGCAGGTGAAACTTGTTCAATTTCATCTAAAAAAACTTTCTCACAACGGTTTTTCCTATCTTTAAGGTCTGAATAAAGGGCAAATTCTTCTAACGTCAAATCAGCGTTGGAGTCCTGGACTGGATCGCAGTAAGTGCGCTCAACGGGGTGAATGACCCAATTAGAAGAGAAGACGCTATTAACGTCAAAGGAGTCCTCTATACCTACTTCTTCTTGCGTCTTGCGGAACCTACAATTAAGGTAATATGTTATAATGGATCTATACCCCTATACCATGGAATTAAACGGCATTAAAATCAACCTAGCAGAAGTTATCTACAATAAGGGACATATATTTCACATATGTATGGACGTATGTTTATGTATACGGCGCTACATATACATATATTCATACATATGCGCATATACACATATAAACATGTAACAATATATACATTATAAATATATTCACATTCATACATTTATTTCAATTTTATTTCTATTTCAATTTGCTTATTATTTTACTTAAATTTATTTTATTTTAATTTATTTGATTTGATTTAAATTTATTTTATTTTACTTTATTTTATTTTACTTTATTTTATTTTACTTTATTTTATTTTAATTTATTTATATATATTTTATTTTATTTTATGTTAATTGAATTTATTTTATCTTATTTTAATTTATTTTATTTTATTTAATATATTTCATTTTATTTTACCTGAATTTATTTTATTTAAATTTAAATTTATTTTATTTTAATTTAAATTTATTTTATTTTATTTAAATATATCTTATTTTATTTTATTTGAATTCATTTTATTTAATTTTAATTTATTTTATTTTATTTAAATATATTTTATTTTATTTTATTTGAATTTATTTTATTTTAATTTATTTAAATATATTTTATTATATTTTATTTGAATTTATTTTATTTAGTTTTAATTTATTTTATTTAAATATATTTTATTTTATTTCATTAGAATTTATTTAATTTTAATTTAATTTTTTCAATTTAAGTCTTCATACACCGTCTCGCATTAAACCAACACCACTAATGTATACATATGTATATGCATACAAATGATTATTTACATACATACGAATGAGAACACATATGTACACACCTATAAATGCGTTCATGCAACTAAATATTGAGACTTACCCAGATGCAGCAGCTTCGGTCCTATTGCCTCCTCCTCAAAGTGGTGCTCGCATAAGAAGGCGTTGGTGACCGCAAAGTGGCCATCGGCAGGGGTGACTCCAATGTTGTCCTTCCACTTCTTGGCCAGATGAGGATCCTGGGGGAAGGCGAACATCCTAGTTGGGGCGTTGGTGCTGCTACAGTCGCGAACGCGACATTTCCGAACCGGCGGCATTTTTAGAAAAACTTTGCGAAAATACGACCTATTTAAAGCGACGACAAGAAAGATTTGACGATTTGACGGCAATTATTGGCATTTACATATGTACATACTGTATATATCCATACATAGGAGAAAAATCGCCTTCCCCAATTATTGCAATTTTTGGCCAATAAAAAATTACTAGTTGGAAAACTGATAGAAAAGGATGTACATACATACATACAAAGAATTTGCACGTCAACGATCATTAGAACTTTATTTTATTTTAATTTTATTTCATTTTAATTTATGATACATTATTTTAATTTATTTTATTTTAAATTTTATTAACATATTACCAATTCAATAAATATTGAACTTATTGAAATAACTTATCTGCCCCGCAATAATCTTACAAGGTTCAAGCAACATTGAAGTAACATTCAAGCAACATTGTTGAAGGAGCATTTGGTGAAAAATCCACAAAAATGTTAAATTTCAAATGTTAAGTGACGCGGAAATTTTAAAATAGGATAGTGAAATTCTATCCTCTAAACGTTTCAGACAAATGTTCGATGAAACCAAAATTTGCAGCTTCTCTATATTATAAGTTTTCTGCAGCTGCAACGATCTAAGTGGCGTGCTTTGTGCATTTTCATACAATTCATCTTATCTGTCAAAGCACCTCTGTCACGCAAAGCGAAGCAAGCGTTTTATCTGGGATCAGCTTAAGTGTGGCAACGTCAAAGGCCCTACGAACTCATTGATTTATCGGCGAACTAGTTGGTGAAATACTAGAAGTTGGTTGTAAATAAGCCGTATGTAGGCAAGTTGGTCAACTTTGAAGAAATGAGAACTGTTTATCCAAAACATTGCGGACTTTCGAAAAAATACTGTCATTTAGTTGGCATCTCGGTGCCTGCTGAGCGTCTTTTTTTTGCAAAAGCTGGTGCTACAGCCACTAAGAAACTCGACCGCTTAACAACTCCAGATTTTGAGAAAAACTAGGTCAAAATGTCCAAAAATCGCGTTTTTTCAATATTTCGAGAGGCTCTAGCAAAGAGAGAAAACGTGATAAAACCTTCACTTAGGCTGAAATTAAAGCTGGAACTAGTATCGAATACCTACTGCCCCTGAAAATACTTACATATATACTACGTTTATGCGCAGAATTCACGAATTCTATACTTCATGAATTCAAAAATGGTTCCGTTTATGCATAATTCGCGAATACTTGAAATGAAGTGTTTAGAAATATTGGCAGCGCACCAGCGTAAAACTAAACAGTAGGGTTGTGGTTTGTTTTAGCATTTTTTTTTTTTTTTTTTTTTTTGAATTTGCAAATGGCGTTGGTACCAGGAAATTGTCCATGTTATATTTAAATTGGTTTTATTGCATTTGAATTTCTTCTGTTTGAATTTCTTTAATATTACAAAAAATCCACGTAACTTTTCCAGTGGTTTAAGTCATGGTTATACCACTACCCCTTGCCGGACTTCCACTTCACGATTTCATGAAATGGTGCCCAAATTCATGGTTGATTTTCGTGTATAGTTGAATTCATGATATTGTGTTTATGCAGCCAATTTTAGCCCAAATTCATGAAATGATTCGTGAATTTTCCTACGCATAAACGTAGTAATAGTAATTTATTACAGCAATTTATTATTTAATTTAGTAACAGCAAAACCTGACTTTAACAACACTTTTTCCCCCAGTATTTCTTGGTGTTCAATAAATGACTATAAGTGACCATCAGGTTAAGGTTTCAGGGACAGTAGTCGAGAGTTCAAGCTGTAACTTAAGCCCAATTGAAAGGTTTTATCACGTTTTCTTTCTTTGCTAGAGCTTCTCAAATATTGCAAAAAATGCGATTTTTTGACACTGGACCTGATGGAAACTTTACCCTTCGGATTCGTAATCAGTACAAAAAAGTCTATCAAAAACAGCTTTAACATTTGCCGCACCNCTCTTTACTCTTCGGATTCGTAATCAGTACAAAAAAGTCTATCAAAAACAGCTTTAACATTTGCCGCACCAAAATCATCTGTTGCCCTGTGTAAGCTTTCCACACAACACAATGAGCACTGTTTTTATTTTATCGCACTATTAAATCGTGAATTACAACATAACTTGGACGAATCTGGTTCCTTTTTTTTTAGATTCTTGAAGTACGTTGTTTTTGCTATCATCTTCAATATAGCCCGATCTCCCGCGATCTCAACTTTTTCGCAAATCAAAAACTATTCTTATATTTTTTTTAGACAGCTTTTACAATTAATTTTTAGATACACTATTTACTTGTGTCAAAAATTTAAATTTGATGACTTAGATACCGTCAGAAACGTTCTCTATCTCGCAAAAAATAATTAAGTCCTTTAACCACTATTTTAAAATCAAATTTCCGAAGCACAATTTTAGAGCCAACGAAAAAGCAGCACAAACTTTATTGAGAATAGCAAGTTCAAACTGCTCTAGTGAGAAGATACAAAAAAACGGTGCCTTATACTTTTCATCCACTACGCAATGGACCTTCCTCTAGACAAATTACCACGTTTTGCAAAAGTCGGACAACTTTAATTTTTGGAATATTGACCAGCTTTTTCATAATTTCTCTCACTGTGTGAGCGGGCGTATTCAAAGTGTATGTAGATTTCCCGAAATGTTTGAAATATGCAGCGTAATAGTTTTCTGCTATAATAATTAAAACACTGTTTCACAGCTATATTTTTTTGTTCTTTTATTAAAAAAAAGAAACCCAATTTACCTTATATAATAATAATAGATTGGGGCTTACACATATGTTAGTGTTTGGCCGAGCTTCTCCTCCGATTTGTGGCGTAAGCCTTGATGTTTTCACACAAAGTGGATGGACCTACAGTTTTACGCCGACTCCGAACGGCGATGGTATTTTTATGAGAAGCTGTTTTTCATAGCAGAAATACACTCGGAGGTTTGCCATTGCCTGCCGAGGGGCGACCGCAGTAAAAAAAAAAACTTTTTTCTAAATTTTTTTGCACTAATTTTACCTTATATAACGAAAGAAAATCATTGGAGGAGTACTTAAAATGCGTGAATTTTTCCTAAAAACAATAAATACTTACAGTTCATATGGAGATTTCAATGGGACTCTCCATTTTAGTCCTGTATGTCGCAATGGTGTACAGTTTAAGGAAAAGGCTCGACATAGGTTATTTTATAGTATAATTAAAGAAAAAGTTAAAATAATGTGTGATTTCTAGCAATATTTTAGCAAAACTTTGTATAGATCTGCTGTATTTTAGCCAAGTAAACCAAATAAAGCTCTGGGGATTAATAGATTTCTGAATGCTATTTATTTAAGGTTATTTGTAAAGAATAAAATATGTGCATATCCAAATGCAGTCAATGAAAGAAGTAATGCATCCAAACAGACAACAAAAGAATCAAAAGCGTTAATGAAATACTCAAAATATAAATTGATCTTGTTAAGTATTTTGTTGAATTGCCAATTTGTTGGGTAGAAGTCTTCTGTAAGTTTGATAATGACATGTCACTAAATATTTCATCGTCAGGTAAGCCCTCCATGTCTGTCACTATATTCTCTGAACTGACGTCTAAATCAAGAACTTGTTTAGCCTGCGCAACAGCTACAGTTGGAGCTTCTCCTCGAAATATGTATTCTGAAAATTGTATTGCATTAATTGTTCCATCGACGAATATGTTAAAAAATATGCGCCGTGGGGGTTCACTTATAAAAATAACATCGTTGCTAACATGAGGATCGGTCAAACCATCGCAGTAAACTTGGATACGTGCCGCCAATGAACGTAATATGTCGTTCCGCAAAAATCGCTTAACATCGCCCAAAACATTGGTTTTAGTGCACCATATTCGCGAAGAAATAACGCCAGTAAGGCGAATGGTACCTTTGAATTTTCTTACTTTAATAAAGTTTTCGCTACCTTGATGACACTTGACAGGTAGAAATAAAGTTGCCTTATAGTTTTCATTAGCTTCGTTTTTACGATTGATAGTCACAAATTCTTCCAATGATAAAGAATCATCCACAAACGCGTTTTCTATAAAAATTTCACATTTGGACAAGCTTTGCTTCATTGAAGATATAGCACGTTGAAATTGATCCTCGATGTTAATTTTACGTGTGTCATCAAAAATTGGAAAAATGTCGTCCAGTTCGTAGCAACATTCAAACGCATACCAATCAATAGGTTTATCCAAAAAATAGCAATTCATTGATGCAAATGAACCTCCCCTGTAAATTGAAATAAATTAAGTGAATATATCCTGTTTAAAAAAATGCTAAGCTTTTAAACTCATTAGGCATATGACCTAATTTAAAAATTAAATTTACGTGGCTACCTGTGATTAGGATTAATAATATACACCCATTACTAAAAATCTCCGCAGTAACAGTACATATATACATATCTATGCCATTCAATTAAAGTACCTTAAGTGACTTTAGAAGGTTTGACTTTCAATTAAAAAATAATCACATACATACAATTTTTATATTTTTATTAAACTTCTATTAAAACGGTATCTTGAACTATACCTATGGCTGGTTAAACGTTAAATTATTGTTTGGAACCACAATGAAATGTTGCTTTAAAGGGAAAAGTGCATATCCGAACTTAGGCTACTTTAATTGAATGGCACAGATATGTATTAAAGGACTGCAAATGTTGAACTATAAAACGTAGCGACATGTGCCACATCATGCAAGTGCCAGTTTATATCATGTCGCTTATACATGTTTGAAAGTGATATATGAAGACCCTGTCGAATAAATTCAAATCAAATCATGCATCAAATCTACGCATGTCAACACAAGGAACGCATGCGACATATATATATTCAGCATTATTATTTATATTAGGGGTATTCTCCAAATCTTGCAAAGCCATTGCACGTAGCACGGATTGCATTACATACTTGCAACCACACAACAAAAAGAAACATGGGAAACATTTCCTATCGCTGCAAAATATGCAACGTTGAAATCCATGTATTTTTTTTGCAAAATAGCACAGCAAGATAAATGCGAGCCTGTGCTAGTTGTTTTGTTGTTGGAATTGCTGCATATTTCTCTCATTATCTCGCTCACTTCATTTTTTTTTGCTGTCTCTTGTTATTGTATTTAGGTTCTTTCCCTAACAATCCGGACCGGATCCGGTAATTAGAGAATAAGCAAAAAGTTTGCTCTCAAAAATTGAGCAAAGTCCAGAAATACGGGAACGCAAATCACCACATTTCGTGCCCAGAATTTGAGAAACAGCTGATTCGCGTTGTTTTTGTTTTTGTTATTTAAATGCAAACACTGGGAAATTGAATTTTGGTTTAACAAATTTCATTTTAAGTATATAAAGATTGAAAATACATCAAAAAGCCGTTCACTATTCCTTAAAAGCACTATTTGATACACAATTTCGCTGCTTGCTACCCATGCATGCTACCACTTTGCAATGGGGTGCTCTCGTACTCTTCGAAATTTGGAATAGTATTTTTGGAACAAGCGGCCGTTGAGGAAAGAAACAAGTGGGCGTGGTCCGCCCCTTTTTACTGAATTGAAAGGTGTAAACAATTTTTGCTGGAAATTAATAGGGGCGGAGCTAGAGGGGGTTTATATAGTTAATAACGTATTTTCCAATTACTCCATTAACTCCCAAGCATCCTATCCTATCCTATCCTTTTAACCTAAGTCGAATTAACTCCATACATCTTCTGCTTCTTCTTTTTTGGCGCTGTAACCGCCTAAGCGATTTTGGCCGAGTTAAGCAAAGCACGCCAGTCATTTCTCCTCTGTGCCAACTGACGCCAATTGGAAACGCCAAGTGAAGCCAAGTCCTTCTCCACCTGATCTTTCCATCGCAGTGGGGGCCTCCCTCTTCCTCTGCTACCTTATGATGACGACCACGGCAAACGTTTAAAGGACTACGATTTGAGGGCATGCAACTGGAATGTCCGGACCCTTAATGGGGAAGGTGCCTCTGCCCGGCTGGTTGATGTCCTCGTAAGGACAAAAGCTGACATCACCGCCATCCAAGAAATGCGTTGGACGGGGCAAGGCAAACAATGTCTGGGGCCTTGCGACGTCTACTACAGCTGCCATGTAAAGGA